TCATTTTCCCTAACCGATCCATAATCAATTGGTCACTAGAAGAGACTGTAAAACCAACCTTGGATTGTACGCTAACACCGTTTTCATAAAAATGATCCACAAGGAGTTGCATACTCTCTCTCAAGTCATCATCATCCTCGTAAACAAGACCAACAGTCTTCCAATCAACCTCATGGATGAAAGCTGTGATCCCCTTTGCCTCAGAGTAAGAATCATATGTAGCTTGGATCAAATGACTGTATTTACTCAGTGATGGTGAGAAAGGAGAGTTTAGTGATCCCCTTTAACTTGAGATAGTTTGGTGATGTTCCAAAGAGTTTCTCATAGGGGTTTTGATTTGAGAGTGTTGGTGTTGGTAGTCGATTGATCAGGTAAACCGCTGCGGAGAAGGCATAACTCCAGTAAGTGTTTGGTATGGATGCATGAGAGAGGAGCGCTAGACCCGTCTCCACAATGTGGCGATGACGTCGCTCTGCAAACCCATTGTGCTCAGGTGTGTGTGGAGGGGTCGTGAAGTGAGAGACACCACTGCGAGCAAGATCATCAGCAAGAACCATGTATTCTCCGCCATTGTCAGTGTAGAAGGTCTTGAGTTTGTGATTGAACTTGTTCTCTACAATAGCTTTCCAGCGAGTGAAAATAAGCCTGACATCAGATTTGTTCCTTATCGGGTAAAACCAAACATAGTGAGTATAGTGATCAGCAAAGAGAACATAATATTTGTATCCATCAACAGAGAACACTGGAGATGTCCAGACGTCTGAGAAAACAAGTTCAAGAGGATGTGAAGAAGTGAGAGATGTTTGAGAGAATGGTGTTTTATGGCTTTTTGAGACAAGACAATCTGTGCAATGAAAATTTGAATCTTTATTGGATAAAGGAAGTAGAGAATTCAGAGCAACAGAGTTTAAAATAGATAAAGCAGGATGTCCTAGGCGAGAATGCCATAGAGACAAGGGACATTTAACTGAAGAAATAAAAGCTAAAGGAGATGAGACTGGTGCAAATTGATTGGGCCACTGGTATCCTCCATCATCAGATTTTCCTTGGAGTATTTGCGCCCCCGAGTTGAGATCCTTCACCTGAAATTGGTTTGGAAAGAATTCCACAGATACAAGATTGTCAGTACATAGCTTGTTGACAGAGACAAGGTTTTTTGATATTTGTGGAACTCTAAGAACATTATTAAGATGTAATGATCTTTTAGGAGATGAAAGAGTTGATAAACCAGTGTGTGTGATCTGAAGACCAGCGCCATTTCCAACCTGAACCTCTTCCCCACCTGTATATGGTGTATGCATTGAGAGGTTTGCAAGGTCAGACGTTACGTGATGGGATGCCCCACTGTCCAGAAGCCATGTCGGTGGTTCAGGTGAGCTCATCATTGCACTGTAAGCTTGTGGAGGCCATTGATATTGTGTCTGAGGAGCTCCATTGTTTGTCTGAGAGACAATGCGAAACTGTGTACACTGCTTAGCCATGTGTCCTTGTGTTCCACAAGCTTGACACCGACCTAGATATGGCTTAGGTCCACGGTTGCTTTGACCACTGCGATTGTTGTTGTTGTTGTATGGTGGACGCCAGTTCTTCTGTTTGTTGTGGTGCTGGTTTGTCTGAGCAGTCTGTGTGTGATGTGCCGTTGCAGGAAACATTTGAGATGCAACAGTCGGGTTTTGAAGAGCTGTTTCTCTGTTTATCAGCTTCTCATGGAGTTCAGCAAAGGAGATGGGTGTATCACGAGCATGAATGGATTCGATGACTGCTTTAAAGTCATCTGGAAGGCCAGCAAGGACGATGTCTGTGAGATCTTCAACGTCCATAGGACTGCCAAGGAGAGCAAGGCTGTCAGATTTGGTTTTGATGAGTTGCATATACTCATCAACTGACTTGGACCCTTTGACGCTCTGTTGTAGCTGGTTCTTCAGCTGTTTAATGTGGCCGCGAGTTGGCTTGCCATACGTGGAAACGAGGGTGGTCCAGGCTTCAAGAGACGTGGTGGCTCTCGCGATGAGTGGCTGGTTTGTTGTTTCAATGGAACCCATGAGTGCACTGTAGATCAGTGCATCTTGACGTGTCCAAGAAGCAAACGCCGGATTTGGTTCTTCTTTGTCTGCAACCGTGATCATCTCCGGTGGTGAAGCAGCAGAGGATTCAATGAACTTGAGCAAGTTGTAACCTCGTAGCAGAGCCTTGATTTGAATGCTCCAGGTAAGGTAGTTTGTAGAGGATAGCTTGGTTACATTGGTCATGTTGATGTTAAGGATGGAGTTTGGTGCATCACTGGTGTTAATGATTTCTGTTGTGACAGAGTTGTTTGATGACGCCATCGAAGGTGGTTTGCGGAAGAAAAGAAAGAAAAACAAAAGAGATGAGCCGTTTTAGGGTTTTAGGATTTTGACTGCTCTGATACCATATAGACTTAGGTGAGATGATGATTGAATGAGTTGATTATTATGAATAAGATACAAGGAGTTATATACATAAGAGTCACCGACTCTCTTCTCTGCACATATGGAAAGTGTATATTCACAATATATTTAGGAGTATCCTCTACAACAGGAACCCTAGCTTTCTCTCCAAGCTCCCCCAAAAGCTTTGTCTCCAGCAACGAGTTCCCGCCGATGATAATTGCCTCCACTCCTTCAGATTGCAGCAGATCTACAGCTGTCAAAGAAAAAAAGAGATAACACAGAAATTGTGACAATGGAAACAGAGGAAGAAGAAGAAGAAAGAACAATGGAGTATATATGTTACCACTTACCAGAAGAGAGAGCTAAGAGAGGCTCTCCTTGGGAGTTTCTGATTGAGAGGGAGACTCTTGTTTTGTAACCAGTGTTAACGGTGTAGAAATCAGAAAGCGCCGTTGTAACAGAACTCCCCACCATTTTTCCCTCCACGGAACCCAAATCCAAAACTAACCCGACCCGGATCCGAACCCGTTCATAATCGGACCCGGAGCCTTGGTAAACGTCATCCTTTTGACTTGAAGAGCTCAAGGACAGAAACAGAACAACAACTGATACAAGTATTATCCCAAACCTCTCCATTAAAATAAAATAAAAAGTTTTTTACTTATTACAAATGAAAAGACACATGTTGTTGTCTACTTTATCGTTCTTGTTAGTATTCATTTATATAACCGATTCTAACTCAAGCACTCGACTCAAGTCACTCAACATATGCCGTGTTTTGTTTTTCCTTTGTCAACGGGTTCATTACCAAGAGACACAAGATTATTTAATTGGACAAAAGGAAATTCAGTGTGAGTTCCCCGACGTTGGCTACTCTTTTGTCACATTTATTTATGGAAACTCAATAGTCACTTTCTATTTGATTTCGTCAAAGAAAAGTAAGGAAAATGATCACATGATGATTTTATAGTTCAAAGAAAAGTGAGGCACCCATACTGCATTTGTCAAGTTTGTAAGAAAACAGATGTTTTTTTCTTTTGACACGTGCGCCTACTTAATTAGTTTATTTAACAGTCTAATGATTTTTTTTCTTTTTCTTTTTTTTTATCCTAGTAAGAATTACATAACTTCAGTGAGAAATGAATATATTGATCGAAGAGGAGATTATGTTTGCTAGATGCTTAGGGGAAACAACGTAGAATCAAACTAATAAGGATGTTTATGATCTTTATTAATACCAATTACGAAGTCTTCATGGATGCATATTACTATTTTTGTAAGGGCAACTGCAGAAAATAAAGTTATAAGGCTATGAGTTTTGACATTATAGAGTTCAAAAGTAAAGCTGTGGAAAGAAAATATTTGACAAAATCATATGGAGCTAGAGAATGACTGCATAGTCTCTGAACTTTTGAAGAAATTGATATTTTTGTAAGTAACTCTTTTTCATTTCTAATGATATTAACATTTTTAGCAAAAAAATAAAGCTTCTCGATCGCATATCATTGATTGATCTTGATCCATATGATTAATGGAACATATTTGCCATCTTGAATGAAAAAACAATTTAAATGAATCTGAGGAAAGAAACTGATTAAAAATTATACAAAAGAAAAAAAAAGAATGATTTAAGAGATACTAGAGATGATAAGAGAAAAATGAAATGATGTATTATTATTTGTTACTTGGGTGTATTAAGAGCATCAGCATCAAGAGTTCATCCCAAGGTTCACACACTTCCCCAAATAAAAAAAATATTATAATAATACATCTTGATGAACTCCAGCTTGCGAGGGATCACTCTGCTGAACCGGTTCATGCATGTTTATGCGGGTCCCACGCCACGTGGCGGCCCGCTATTGGTCCATTTTCTATTTTTTTTTTTTTTTAGAAAAAAGTCAAAACGAAAAAAAAAAAAATTAAAATATTGAAATCATGAACCTCTGGTGGGGTTCATTGATGCTGCTGCTCTAAGCATCCTAATACTTGCTGACGCGAGACTCAAGCTCAGATTCGTATGCCAAATGCAAGATAAGTTCAATGAGAGGGAGTTTAGAGCATGTACATCAATGAACCTCCCCTTGGGGTTCATATGTATTGTTTATTAATTTATTCGTGGGGACATGAATAGTGATGAATCCGGATCAATTGTGATCTTCCATCAATGAACCTGAAGTCGGGGTTCATAAAAATAAAATAATATATTTATTGAAAAATAAAATAATTTTAAAAATTGTTGAAAAGTTATTATTCATTATAATGAGAATTTTTGAATTAATTTTTTTTTAATGCATGTTAGAAAAAAATTATTCAATAAATTGAGAATTCATTATTTCTGTTGACAACATGGGCAATAGATTTTTTTTTTAATCATTTTCATGTAACAAAGTATCTCTAATCATAAGTATAGCATGTGAGAAGCTAAAAGATAGCTGAACTATTTTTCCAAAATTGTTGAACAACATTAGTATACTTCATAGTCTTAAACGGCTGATCAGGATAGCGAGGTACTCTATTATATCTTGGAACGTACCTGTTTTATAAAATCTGCATTCAAGCAATTAATTACTACGGGTGGATCATCTAATGTTACAATTTCCCATCATCTTGCAACTCCAACACAATCTGCAATTACATGATGCAGAGAGAATAAATGTTAAGACTTGTCAAAGGGAGAATAACAGTGAACACTTTGTATCAAAAGAGCAGTCCACTTACATGTTGTTGGTTTAAAACATGTCCATTGTTGTCTGTATCAGTGACATACTGACTACACCTCTCATCCTTCCATATCAACACCAGAGGAGTATTCCCAGTATGATAATGTGCATGTCTGCGACAAATTTACATGAGAACTTAAGTAGATGTTGCCGCATAACTATTGGCCAGAAACAAAATGGCATGGAAAATGAAATTTATATACATCACTATTAGACATAAACTTTGTCTAACTTTTGGTTACTGAAGCAAACTAAACGGCATTCTATAAGTAGGAGAGATGAAGTGATGCACTTACTTATTATAGAACAACAATCCATCCTTGACATAAGGTAATGATCCTGTATAAGCTGAGTGAAGTCCGCCTTGGTCGCAGTTATAAAAAGAAACAACACTGAACTTAAACCTATGGTAAAAAGAAGGCGGATCACAAGCACCAGTCTCGTCAAGTTTTGACTGCAACCAAAAGAACCTGAACTCTTCTGTACATTCATAAAGCGAGTAACCCCTCCAACAAACCATATCAATCACATAATACGTCTGATCCAACTACATACAAAAAAAAGTACCAAACCACATAGTATATGATCAGAAACAAAGATAATCACAAACCAATAAAAAGAAGAATCTTTAAACCTCGTGAAATATACAATCAAGTATTGAATATGATTGTGCTGTACCAGAAACACCTTTCTTCCTAGCACCACCAGGCAACGCAGAAGGAAAATGGTGCAACACAGATCCCTTACGTAACCTACTAACAGTTGTTCCATCTGCTGACACTACAAAACATATCTTCTCTGCTGGTCTCGCTAGCACATACCTAAATTCAAGAAACTGTTAGAAGATTATTGGATTAAGCGTGCGTCTACACTGATTTTTTTTAACACATAAGCCAATATTATAAAACAAAATCTTTAAAAAAAAGTTCATAACCTAGATATTTTTTGAACACTGAAACCAAACAAAAAGTTATCAACTTTGTAAAGACAAAACTAAATCGAACAAGAGGGCATTACCAGTCTCTGCTTAGATTCTCAGGAACATCGATCATCCACTCAGGTAACATTAACTGACTCGCGAACCACTAGCGAGCTTCAGGTCCTCTGTGACTCGAAGCTTGGCGAATGTTAAAGCTATAAGCTTCCGGTAGTGTCTATATCAGGCATGGGTTCGGATAGTTCTTCCAAGTCGACATCGGGGGAAGATGGTGATTGGAGAGAGATTACGGAAGAGGCGAGGTTTCGAGCTCGCTGCTGTGCATCGGAGCGGTGTTGAGACTGACGGAGAAGGGAAAGTTCTCGGCGTTTCTGTTGATGGGAGGTCCAATCGGTGCTTCACACGTGGCGTGAACCCGTATCATACGGTATCACTCCCACGAACCGGATCAAGGAAAAGGCCCATTTATTTCATTTTTTTAATCCAAAAAGCAGTGAACCTCAGCCCATGAACCCCTTTAAAAACTCTCAATGGACATGCTCTTACAAGTGTTAAAGTTGTGGTAAAGTGTATCGAAGAGCATAACCTGGAAGAGCAGTACTCAGTTGAGCCACTTCAGAAACGGATTCACGAGCTGGAGAAGGTCAAAGCGGAGAAAAGGAAAGCGACAGAACCCACAAAGCCTCAGACAAAACGACCACGTGGTGCTCAACCCCTAGTCACTGACAACAACAACAACAAAAATAACAAGACAGGATATGGTAGAGTCATCCCTGAGAGTTATCCGCAGTATGTGTATGACAACAGACCTTTCCTTACCGGTCCAATCATGGCAGCACAAGCTCCGCCTCCTCAGACTTACACTTTCAGTCCCGTTGCTACTCATGGGAACTTCTATGGGAACTGCTATCAGTACCAGGCTCCTCCTCCTCCTCCTTACTTTCACTAAGGTGATGGTGTTAACTTGTGGCAGCTCTTTAACCTCTTCCTCTCCTACTAGTTGTTTTCCTTTGATGTTGTTGTTACTATGTACGGATGATTTTAGTATTTTAAGGATCAACCCTACTCAAAACAAAACAAAAAATTTACTCAGAATTTTCTGTTAGTTATATATATTTGTTGTATTGTTTTCTCTCTTGTTCCGTGTTGAGTGATGTATGGATTAGATCAACATTTGCTGTTAACGAATGCCTATCTGGACTAGTATTCAGAGCGAAGTTTCTGTTGCAACAACAGCTGAGAGGAGTTAGTTTCACTCATAGTAATGGTCTACATAGTTTTAAGGGCTACACCAAAGTATCAAACCCAAGCATTTGGCTACTATATGTATATATACTATATAGGATGTGATGGATTTCCCCGCTACTATCCTCAAACGCAGCTTTTGCGGTTAGTAGCTGTTTTGGTGTTTAGTAACAATAACAATTACTGCTGTCTCAAATAATGATTACAACTACTATATAGTGATACGGTCAGAGATCCTTAGACCTAACAAGGCAACCACTGCCATCTCAAATAATTCATGGACCTATTCAAAATATTTATGGACTATGTTCAAAAAATATTAGCTGTATATTTAACGATGTAATAGAATAATTTAAAAGTTTATAACTCTATTTATATATCTTTAACTTCTCGTTAGAAATTATAAGCTCTATATTTAGTATCATCAAAAAGTTTTAAACCATAAAATATAAATTTATTATCAGAAACTTTTTAGGTTTAATTTTATTTTTAGATTTGAATCATGTTCGACCGCTCTAGTTGTTCATGCTATTAGACGGCCTTGCGTTTTTTGAGCTTTGTTTTGTTGGTCAATAGATTAAGATAAATTAACCAGAGATTTCGTGCAAAGTGACTACTCTATTTTCAATTTCCAAACAACTCTGAACTATTCTTTGAATTTATATTTTACACGTCGAATCTTTGCATCATTTCAACGTTGAAGATCATTTGTAAGAAATCTCTGGTTTGATTTGATTCTTGTATCAGTCGCAGCAATGTCGCTGGTTCGGACAACATTGATCGCTTTTTTTCTAGACGCTTT